CACACACACACACACACACACACACACACACACACACACACACACACACACACACACACACACACACACTAGCATTCAAGCCTTCTGTGTTTGGTGCTGCCAACAGATGGACATGATCCACCGTTCCCAGCTTAAACACTAAGAAACCCTCTCAGGGCAGCATAGCAGTCTTGACAATGTGCAAAGGTTTGTTTCACAAGTCAACATTTAGAAGAGGAAAAAGGCTAATGGGACGCACAAACAGAAGGGCGCATTCAATGAAAATCACACCGCTCAGGTTTAAAAGACGAACAAGATTTCAGATATTAAATACAATAAAAGTATCTCTTGATTTTTTTTAACATTAACTAACCTTTATGTTTTACCTTTTTATTGCTCAAAACAAAATAAATGAAAGGCAACGCTGGAAAATTAATTTCATATTCAAGGCATGTAGTTTATTATATCCTTTTATTTCATGTAAACTGCATGTCCCAACCTATGTGATGGATCCCCCCCTCTCACAGAAGCCCAGTGATTATTAAAGAAAGTATGAGAGCGTGCGCAGAAAGAGACAAGAGGATGAGTGGACAATGAGCTAAGTATTCATTCTTCATTACTAGAGGCAGGGGACGGGGGCTCCCCTCTGTGTCAGCGGGAGCACTGGCATTGTCAGAATGCACCATTATTTTCTAGCTGCCACGCAAAGCCAAGCTGCCAGCTGAGTTAAGGTGTGCCAGCCGGGGTGGCAGGTTCAGCGCGAATTGCTCGGCACTCCGATCGCTTTTATTCCACTCGCCGTCGTTCATCACGCTCATCCTGCGCACGCGATTGCGACATCTGCACGAACGAGGGGAGAAGGTGGCATCCAAAGTAGCAGACAACAAATTCAGCCATGCTTTCCTGCCAGCTATTACACAGGAGAGCCAGTAAATCAGCTGTGACCCCTCCCCACCTCATCTGACTGGACACAAGCCAGAGTTATCCACTCCGCTCTCCCTGTGACTGGCTAATTTAATGTCTCCAAACACAGTGGATTCATCACTGACACACACACACACACATATATACAGTGGTAAGGGGATTCAGCGTGAACGCAAAGTTAGTCTGTGTGACCCACTTGGTCGGTGGCTGACCCCAGTAAACCTGGCCTGTGTCCTCCCCTGACACCAAGTGAGACACACAGAACTCTCACTCCTTTCCATGAACTCAGTGAGCAGCGGTGAGAGCTGATGTTGATGGCCAATGGCAGTGTGCGCGTTGTAGGAGGTCCTCTAACCTGCCACGCCCTTGCTAAAAAAAAAAAAAAAAGAGCTTGGTAAGAGGTAAGAGGGCGTGCGAGGTAGTGATAATGTGCCCTATTTATCTTGTGCATTATAACATCTGGGAAACTTCTCTAAAAACAATGGCACAATGAGGGCTGCCATTCTGGCTTTACCTTCAGAAACCCACCAAAAGCATTTGTCCCCCTGGAATTGATAATGGACAGGCCACAAATCATTCGGGACAACAGGACGGAGGGTTGTGTGAGAGAGAAACTCAATGTATGTGTATGTTTTGTGTGTGTGTGTGTGTGTGTGTGTTCACCCCTGGTATTTAACTTCTCTGCTGGCCCATTCTGCAGGGCCCCGCAGGACAAATTGCCCTGCATGGTTGTCTTTGAGAGGCAGTGCAGCGCGCAGAGAAAGGGACAGGGCTGAAACACAAGGAACAGGCCTATAAAAATTCATCACTTTGACCCCTGTGACCTCCAACTACTGGGTTTTTTTTTTTTCCTCTTTTTACTCACGCATACACACACAGATGCACGAGCACGCACTTGGCCACCCACCCAAGCTTGGAGCTGAGGGGAGTTATTCAGAAATCATCTATTCGAGTTAAGTTTTTAAAGAGAAACGGACAGTTGCTGCGACAAGTCGGCTCGAGCTGCAGAAACGCACTAAGCCTCGTGATCTCTCTGTCTCTTTCTCTCGCACATGCACACTTGCTGCTGACACAATAGCCGCAGAAAAGCTTTCTACACAGGAAAAGGCCACCAGATGCTTCATTGTGACTGTGTCTCTGTGTAAAGTAGTGGCAGTAAAAGGAGGCTGGGCTCTCCACAGCCATATTAGTCCCAGTAAGAGGAGGACATTGTCTCAGGCCCGGACTCTTGACACATTACTGCCACCTGTACAAAGAAAACCTAATGAGAGATTTAATCTGAGAAACCTCCCCTGCCACTTTTAGTCAGCACTTTGAAACCAACTGCGGCAGATGTCTGCAAGACTGTTTAACGTACCGGCTTCTCTTAACCTCTCAATAAAGCCATGCATGCTTAAATTGCTCAATAGCCATTCATTTGAATGTTAGCTGCACTTATTACAATTCCTCCCAAAAAAAGGGAGCTTTGTGATGTGAAGGAGTAGCCGGCAGCGCCACCGCCATTCAC